CCTCCCATCCCAGGGCCCCCGGGGCCCCCGGGGCCTCCGGGGCCTCCGGGCCCTCCCGCAGCACCGGCGTCATCCGCCGTTTGGTGTCGTCTCAGTAAAGAAGCTCTACTAATTTCTTAAAAAAAAAAGTTAGAGTAGGTATGGCAAAATGTTAAGATTTTTCAGATGTGGGAAGTGGGTACATGGTTGTTTAATATATGTAATATTTGCTGTACCTTGTTTGTTTATTTGAAATAGTTTTAGTTTTTTAAAAAGTTAGACTTGGGACAAGGTATGAAGTATGTTCAAAGGCTTTCTCCCTTTTCCAGGCATTCTTCATTTTTTAGTTCTTTGTTGACACAGCTTTCCTAGTCACTTTGCATTTGTATATTGGTTTGTGTCCTATCACCTGCAGATTAAATAGGAGGGTGAGTTCTGATATAATCTTCTCTATTCTTCCTTCTGGTTTACCCTCCAGGGGTCATAGTTGAGCTCAACAATGTCTTTTCAGGCCTTTCATGAAACTTAAAATATTACTCTACAACAGAAATGTCTAAGTTCGTGAAACAAGTGACTGATTTAGAATTTAAAAATAAATGAAAAGGCGTCTTTTCTCTTATTTCACATTTCTACTCAAAAAAAAATGATGATGTCTTTTAAGATTTAAATAATATTGTTTGGTACTTCAATTGATAAGCATATGGTTAAACAGTTACAAAGCATCTGTTTTTATGCTCTGCAATTTTTAAAATTTGAGAAATAGAACATTATAAATCCCTTTTTAAGATTTACCCACTAATTCATGTCACTTTAGCTGACTTCTGTATAATTATTGAGGGTTTTTCATCTTGAAAGCAGAAAAGCTATGTCAATGAGAGTAGTCAGGGACTTGTTTCATGGAGTAGTGAAAATATTCATATCTTACGGATTATCCCTTGGAGAGGTCAGAAGCTTACTTATGTCAATAAACATGTCAGAGTCCCTCCCACTTGTTGAATAGCTTGGTTGTTAATTTGTGTGCTAGGCAACAGGCTTTCTCCCTCTTCCTTTTCTCAGATAAAGTTTAGAGAATAAAAAAGTTGCAGTTGTTGTCATTTTGTTTTGTTTTACTTGCAGGTTAAGTACTTAAAGATGGGAAAAGTTGATCTTTGTTTAAGCTCTGAAGGAACTGAAGTGATTTTAGCGACATCAAGTGATGAAAAACATCCACCTGAAAATATAATTGATGGGTAAGAGTTACTATTCTTTCTTCCTTAAAGTCTTAGTATTAGGTCAGTGAACCCCCTGAGTACTGAGAGTACATGTTTTACGTGTACAATAACTAGCAGGGTTAAACAGTTGAATAAATGGTGCACTAGATTACCTGACAATACCCACTTTAGTACCATCTCTGGAACTAATTCAGTTGTGTATATTTAGGTTTTTAATCCTTTTCTTGATAATTCTTAAACTAAAACAGCTTTTTAAAATGTGGTCTAACAAGGCAAAACTTCAAACAATGGTTACCTCATTTTATGGATGTACACATTTTAATATCTGGTTATGGTTTTATTCCAAGGTTTTCTTGGTAAATAGGAATCTAAACATTACAACTTCCTGTCTACTGCCTATTTTCCTTCTGGTCTAAGCAACATCTTTGCTGAACTGAATGCTTCACTTTCTTCTATCTACTTGCATCGTTTGGTCTTCAGCTTCTTGATATCATTCCAATTACCACTCTTCACTGTGTTAGAGCTTATTCTACGTAGAGATAGATATCATTCTTAGACTTTTAAATTCCAAGAAAAAGTAGTTAATGGAAGAACTCCTTTTTTAAAAAGTTGAAGTATAGTTGATTTACGATACTGTGTTTTAAGTTTCAGGTATGTAGTGATTCACAATTTTTAAAGCTTATACTCCATTCATAGTTATTATAAAATATTGGCTATATTCTGTCTGCTGTACAATATTCCTTGTGGCTTATTTATTTTATACATAGTAGTTTGTACCTTTTAGTTCCCTAGCCCTATCTTGGTCCTCCCTTCTTCCCTCCCCCAACTACTAACCACTGGTTTGTTCTCTTTATCTGTAAGTCTGTTTCTTTTTGTTATATTCACTAGTTTGTTTTATTTTTTAGATTCCACATGTAAATGATATGCAGTAATTGTCTTTCTCTGTTTGACTTATTTCACTAATTAAATGCCCTCCAAGTCCATCCAGGAAGAACTTTTTTTTTCTCCAATAGTCCTGGCTATTTTATTACTCTCTTGAGTTCTCTTTCTTGGTATTTGTACAGTGACCTGAGCTTGACTTACAGAATCATATAATTTTAGAGCTGGAAGGACTTTTGAGTTCATCTGATCTAAACCTTTCATTTAGACTTGTGGTAAGAGAGGTCTTAAGAGGTCAAGTACTAGTTTTAACTACCGAAGGCAGAGCCAGTTGTAAAATGGATCTTGTGGTTCTTTGTGTTCTATTGTGAAGTCCACGTATCTGGATAAAATTCTAGCAACTCGACCTGTTCCGTTAAGCCCAGCTGTTATCTCCTCTCTGACATCTGTTCCTTTTCCTTAGATAGAATTAGCTTATCTTTTTGTTGGGTTCCAGTAGAATTTAGTATATACCTCTATTACCTTCTAACTACCAATTTAGGGTCTTTGTACTAAACTATAATAACTCAAGGTTTGAATAAAAAACTTAACATCTGTGCCTCTTAATCCTTCTTAGCTTTTTAGTTCCTGAAATTCAGGTAATAGATATTTATTCCACTCTGCCTTATAGTAGAGATATAAATGTGAGGACTTTTATGAGGATCACAAATCTATAGAGATTTGCCTTAAATTGTTTGCCAGAAATAGAGATCTTTCTGAAAATACTCCTTGTCTCTGACTGGAGATAGATCAAATTTGCAAGGCAAGATCAGTTTACCTCGCACACCTCTGGTGACCTTTGTTTCAAGGGAATATGTTTTTAGATCATTAAGATTGGCTGTTACATGTAACAGATAGTATTTTAGACTCTATCAGTCCATATTAATAAGTACATAATATTTTTTACATTAGACAAAAATCCTTAGTACAGAAAACTATATGGAATAAAAGTAGTTACTAACCTGATAACTGAACAGAGTACATCAGAGACTTTTAATTCATATGCATTTCCAACAAATACAATTAGACTGTATATAGTAGATATTAACATTTATTCTCTGTTCATAAGTTGGTTTGTCTAAATGGAAGTAACTATAGAATTATTTGGAGAAAATAGTGCTATAAATTTGCCCCAATGGACAGTGCTCCCAATTCTTTATTTCCTCAGAAATAGAATTTTTAAAAGTGATTATATTTTTACTTCCTCTTGACTCTTACTTTTGCCCTCTGGTATTTAACATGTCAATGAAAAAGGAAAAAAATTGTACGTAAGAAAAAAATTAGTTAAGAGAAAAAGGAAAGAGAGAGACTCGGTCCCTTTGGCACATTGTAGAAGAATGATAGATTTTCAGTTATAATTCCTGGGTAAGGGGACTATGTGTGTTACTTGGGCTAGGAATACATTTGTTATTCTTTGAGCCTTAGTTTCCCGGTCTGAAAAATGGGGATAATACCACCTTCCCTGACTACCTCAGAGTTGTGGGGAAAAAATGCATGACTTTTTTTTATTATCACTTGAGATAATAGATGTTAAACAGTCAATAGCTATAAGGCCTTACTTAAAAGGAAATTACTATTTTGATGACTTCATTATACTTCATTAGGGGATTCAGTTATGTATTATTTTAAAATCCAAGTACATCTCTACATATCTTTGATGTTATTATATTGGTCATGTTCATTACAAGCACCCAATAAAAACATAGGGCAAGTAAAAATCATTTAATTTATTTAAATAAATAAAAATTTTAACTATATATAAATAAAACGAAGTTATGAAATATGAAGCATAGTATTAAAAAATCAAGAATTGTGAATTAGGAGACCTGGATTCTTTTTTTTTTTCTTTTTTGTAACAGCTTTATTGGCATTTTATTCACATACCATACAGTTCACCCATTTGAGGTGTACAATTCAGTGGCTTCCAGCATATTCAGCATTTTGCAACCGTATTATACACAATCCATTTAAAAATATTTCACCACCCCAAAAAGAAACTTCAGACCCCTTCATAGTCACCCTCTATCCCCACTAGCCCTAGGCAACCACTAATCAACTTTCTGTCCCTATAGATTTGCTTATCCAGACATTTTATATCATTGGAATCATACATATGTGGTCTTCGGACTGGCTTCTTTCACTTACATGTTTTCAGGGCTCTTCATGTTGTAGCACATATCAGTACTTCATTCCTTTTTATTGACAAATAAAATTCCTTTGGGTGGATATAGCATATTTCGTTTCCTCAATTTCATTAAAGAATACTAACTTACAGATCTAAGAAACTGTTAAATACAAAGAGACTGTATCATAGACAAATCACTGAAAAACAAAGATAAAGAAAAAATTTTTTAAACAATTGGAGCAAAAAAATACGTTACATACAGGGGAACAATGGTACCAGTGACAGCCAACTTTGCATCACAAGCAGTGGAATCCAGGGGACAGTGGAACAATATGTTTAAAATGCTGGGGAAAAAGGAAGACAAAACAAAACCAAAAAAAAAAACCCTATAAACACAGAATTCTGTATCTAGCTAAAATATCATTAAAAAATGAGGATATAAAAAAGAGACCTACATCACAGGAAATGCTAGAGAAAGTTCCGCAGGTTGAAATGATATAATACTAGATGGAAATTCAAGTGTTCAGGAAGAAAGTATGTACATTGGAAACATTTGGTATAAATATGAGTATCTTTTCTCTTCTTTTCATTTTTTTGGAAGACAGCTAACCACTTAATGAGGAAACAACATGTTGTATTGTGGGATTTATAATATATATGGGTTTAAAATATATTAAAACAATGACACAAAAGTAGAGTTCAATGTAAATTGACTGTCATGAGGTTCTATAACCTTGAGAGCAACCACTAAAAAAAGATGTACACTGAAAGAACTAATAAAGGAATTTAAGGAATTAAAATTTTTTTCTTATTTACTCAAAAGTGGATAGGAAAGGAGAAATGAGACAAGAAAAATATATGGGAGGGACAAACAGAAAATGAATAGGAGGACTTAAATCCAACTCTATAAATAATTATATTAAATGTCAGTTCTAAACACTTCAATTAATTGCCAGAGAGTGTCAAACTGGGTCAAAACGTTAGACCCAGATGTATGCTGTCTGCAGGAGGTGCACTTTAAACATAAAGTCATAAATAGGTTGAAAATAAAGCATGAAAAGAGATGCACCCTACGAACTGTAAGCATGAGTGAGTGAGTGGCTGTGTCTATATTCATATCAAGGTAAAATATAAGGAGTATTATCAGAGATAAAGGGGACATTTTATAATATTAGAATATCATTTCTTCAGGAAGAGATTACCCTTGTAATATTTCCCCCAAAAGTCTTCCTATTCCAGATGGCAACCAGGAAAATAAGTTTTGGAATGAGTCCTCTTTACATATAGCTTGTAACCAAGTATCCTTTTGAGAGAAGACCATCAAATGCAACATGTAATCCAGAACTGAATCCTGGACAAGAACTTGGTTGTCATTCTGCTATAAAGAACTCTAATGGGAGCACTGGTGATATTTAAATAAAGTCTATAGATTGTTTAGTTTAAAAAAAAAACCCAGGTATCCTTTTGAACTGTTCATATTTATTTGGGTTTCAGTTTCTCCAGGGGTGTATGTGTGTGTATAAAAAAGGAGCTATTGGCCACTAAAAAAAAGTTGTCTCTGTTCTGTTCACAGATTATATAAATCTACATAACCCTAACGAATCTAAAACAAAAAAACAAACAAAAAAACCCTGCTAGAACTAAGTAAATTTAACAAGGTCAATTAACAAAAATCAATTGTATTACTATATACTAGCAGGAAACATTTGGAAAATGAAAATTTTAAAATCCCATTTACAATAGCATTTAAAACACAAGATAGTTAAGAATAAATTTAATAAGACATGCCAGACCTTCACTCAAACCATAAAATGTTGCTGAGAGAAATTAAAGAACTAAATAAATGAAAAGATACACTGCATTCATGGTTGGAAAACTCAGTGGTGTTAAAATGACAATTTCTCCCTAAAATGACCAGTACAATGATTCAGTATAATCTCAATAGAATTTTAGAACATGTTGGTTCTGAAAATTATATGGAAATACCAAGACCTACTCTGGTCAAACTAATCTTAAAAAAAAAAAAAGTTGGAACACTTACATTATCTGATTTCAAGATTTAAAATAAATATACAGTAATCAAAACAGGATGGCATTTTTGTCAAGATAAATCAATCAATGGAACAGTAGAGAGCCCAGAAATAGAACCACACATATAAAGTCAGTTAATTTTCTATAAAAGGCTAAGGATACAGAAACAGATCAATGGAATAAACTGGAGCGAGCAGAAAAACATACACCCATATATAGTGCATTACTTTTAGAAAAAGATACAAAGGTAATTCAATAGGAAAGGAAAGTCTGTCTAACATACAGTGCTGAAATGACTGAATAAACAAGTGGGAAAAAAATGAATCTCAACCTCTACCTCATATTAACCACAAAAATTAATTCAAAATGGATCAATTCAATTTAGAGCTAAAATATTTAAGCTTCTAAAAGAAAACATAAGAAAGTGCTTTCATGACAACAAGAAAAACAAAGATTTCTTAATGAGGACACAGATATCACTAAGCATAAAAGAAAAGAGTAATAAAACTGTACTTTGCCAAAAATAAACCTAATACTCATTGAAAGACACAATTAAGAAAATGAAAAGGCAAACTGCACACTGGGAGAAAATATAATACAAAAGTCTGACAAAGAACTCCTACAAATATATAGTAAAAATACAAAGAGCTTTTTTTAAAAATGAGAAAAATACTTAACAGACATTTTCCAAAAGAAAATATATGAATGGCCAAAAAGCACATGAAGAAAGGGCTTAGCATCATTTGTCATCAAGGAAATGCAAATTAATACCATAGTCGGACACTATTTCATATCCACTAGAATGGGCGAAAATTAAAAAGCCTGGTAACAGCAAATGCTGGCATGGGTGTGGAACAACTAGAACTCTCACATGTCTGTTAGGAAGGGAAAATGGCACAACCACTTTGGAAATCTGACATTTTCTTATAAAACTAAACATACTTCTCTACCTTATGACTCAGCAGTTCCACTCCTAGTAATTATCCAAGAGAAATTAAAACACCCACAAAACACATGTACAAGAATGTTTATAGAAGCTTTATTCATAATAGTAAAAAATTAGAAGCAATCCAAATATTCAACAAAAATATCAAACAAAAAAATGAATAAACAAATTATAGCATAGTCTATCATGTTAGAAATCAGAGCAGTGGTTTCCTAAAGGAGGTAAGGATTGTCTGGAAGGAAAGAAGGGACGTTTGTAGAGTGATGGAAATGTTCTTTATCTTGATTAGGGTATTGATTACCTGAGATACTGGTTACATAAGCATATACATTTATCAAAACTCATTGAATTGCACACCTAGGAGAAATTTCACTATAGGTAAATTTTACCTCCAAAAGAGAAAAATCTTATATAATTAAAACAGAAATGATTGTCTCTCTAGTCAATACTATATATGTACATATATATATAATTTTATATAGTATATGACTAACATTGAGTGCGTATTTTTATTTTTTCCAACAAACGTCTTATTCAAAACATACTATGAGTCAGCCATTGTGATAGTTCCTGGGGATAATAAGGGTAAGAGAAAGTAACTGGACAAAGAGTGTGTAGCGGGAACCATAAAAACACAAGAGAAAAGTGCCAATGTAAAAATGGATGCTGTGTGTGAGATGAGTCTAAAGGAGGGAGAAAGTGATTCTAATTTGTTGGGTTGGAGAGAGAGGACCAAAAAGTGAATAAACTTTTGCAAGGGAAGAAGGGCTGCTTTGGTCAAGAGAACCTCATAAAGTAAAACACAGAGGCATGAGCCAGCATGACGTGTTTGCAGAATTTTAATCGGTCCAGTGTGACTGCAGTAATGAGAGATGATATCATGATGGGACCAGATTGTAGACGGTCATATATGCCATACTAAGGAGTTTAGATTTATAGGCAATAAGGGGTCACTGCAGACTTATAGAGAAGAGTGACATAAGTTCTATGTTTAAAAAAATTTATCTGGTTAGTAGTAAAGAATTATTTAAGTTGGGGAGAGATTAGAGGCAGAATGAACAGTTAGGATGGGGTTGCAAGACTCTAGTGGTCTTTTTTTTTTTTTAATTTGTTCACTAGAATTTTGTGAGTAAACATTTGAAAACAGATGGTTATTCTTTTCTCTTTTTCTTTAAAATTAACAATAGAAATCCAGAAACATTTTGGACCACCACAGGAATGTTTCCCCAAGAATTCATTATTTGTTTTCACAAACACGTAAGGATTGAAAGGCTTGTAATCCAGAGTTACTTTGGTAAGCAAATCATGTATTAATTTTCAACATCTTTTAGTTTTTCCAGAGGCAGAGGGCACATATGTAAACTTTTGGCAAAACACTAATTTTTTTTACAGCATGGAATCCAGTTTTATTGCTGGGGGTGATGGGTGGGGAGTATGGGTTAACTGCCTTGAGCACAATTAACCTCTCTGAAACTGCACATTTGAAACCCTTCCAAAGCACATAATAATTTCCATGCAATTTACTATGTAAATGCTTTTGGCAAAAGACCCTGTTATGAACATAAGAAGCCAGCTTGCCAGAACACTAGGTTCCTTGATGAGTTTATTCCAGATTCTTTTGGCTAGGGGTTCTCTGTCAAAATCTTTCTGGAAATCTGACAACCCTGATTATTTACATTAGATAATTTTGATTCTTTTATTAATAATGGTATTTTTTTGAGGGATTTAGGAGAAGTATCTCCCACTAGAACATTATCCTAATCTTGTCTTATGTTTATTTAAGGATAAATTGTGTCAGACAAAATCAAAGCAGGAAACAGGATACATCCCACATGGCTCAAATGAAGAGACTTTATTGATGGGACTATTTATGGCCTGGGTTAAGGGAACAAACTAGGGATGGTGAGACACCAAGAAACTGGCTACAGCAGTAAGCCATTACCTCCCCTGGGCCAAGGGAAGGAAATAGTACTACTGGAGCCCGGCGAGAGCTGGAGCCTGTGGATAAGGGCCTGCCCAACAGGGGCTGTAATCATGAAGGCACATAACTACTGTCAAAGACATGATACTGAAGAGGGAAGGGAGTGGAGAAAATACAACCTGATCTCACTTCCCCACAGCCCTTCACTTTCCTCCCAGTACCTCCAATTGGCCAAATCTGACGAGTAGCCAGTGGGCAAGTGAGTCTAGACGATGCTGTCCCCAGGGGCCCTCCCCTCAAGGCACAGAACAGGGAAGGGGAAGAATGGATTTGGGGTGAGGGGAGCTGGGTTAGGGGTAAAGGAGAAAAACCAGTGCAGAAGGAAGATGACTGCATTCTCTCTTCTGTCATTAATTGTAAAGGGTCTGGAGTCAGACCTGAAGTTTGAATTCCAGTTCTGGCACTTACTAGCTGTATATCATTGAACACTTCACCTGACTTTCTAAGTTGCCTGGTTTCTTTAAGCCTTCTCCTCATCAGTAAAGTAAGATTGAAGTCAAGAGTGAATGAATGAATATGTCTGACTCATAGTAGTTTCTCCATAAAGTTTTATGACCAAGACCAATATTATTCTTATTCTTATTCTTATTCTTATTCTTATTCTTATTCTTATTCTTATTCTTATTCTTATTCTTATTCTTATTCTTATTCTTATTCTTATTTACCCCCCAAAATCCAGATGATACCAAATTCAGAAAGTTTCTATTAGCTTTGTGTTATATGCTTGCAAACATTTGTGAGAGTACAGTTACACAGACTGCATTTTACCATAGGAACTTAATGGAAAAACAAGTAAGTGAGTGATTTTCAGAATGTGGTGTTCCTGATCCCAGTACTTTGTGCAGTCCCACCAATGCCTGACCCTCTCAGACAGAGGAAAAAGGGAATATAGGGACAGCAAAATAGAGTCAGGTAAATAATTAACACTTTATTTATTTTCTTTATTTACAATGTCAGTGCGGGCCTTGAAGATTGAAAAGAGCACTTCTAAAGAGCCAGTTGATTTTGAGCAGTGGGTTGAAAGAGGTATGTGCTTGTTTCACCAGCATTGTTCTGATCATGAGGGAGTAGAGAATTATCCTTTATTCTGTATTTCCAGTCGGGCTGCATTTTGGTGAAAAAAGAGGACTTAAATGCTTCTTGTGACATATTAAGAGCCTAGAAAAACCCAGGCATAGTAGGCATAGTAGACAGAGAGTAAGTGAGACATGGAGTGGAAAACGGATGTAAGTGGAAGCCTGCATATTGAATGGTGGGAACTCTAGCCTTCTTCCTGTGTTCTGCTGTTTATTGTAGCCACTAGGAATAGAGCCCCAGCCAGGAGATTGGAGGATTCATCTTTGGAGAAACTGAGTGGTCCCAGAAGAAAGATCTGTGTATGCTGACAAAGGCTAGCTCATTTCCTGGTCTCCCTTTCAAAGTCCAGTAGTCAACAAGTCCAGCTCGTGCACAGTTTTCAGATGATCTTTTCATAAGAAACAAAGAGCCAGAAATCACCAGACATATGATGAAGGCTTTAAACCCTGAATATAATCAAGCCTTTAGCTCTAATTCTAATCTACAGAAAACAGAGGATAGAGAACAAATTAAATGAAACCACGAGGAGGCAATATGAGAAAATTTGGGACATTTTACAGGACAACTGACCTGTTCCGTTCAATAAGTCAATGGAATGGAAAAAACTCTGTGTGTGGGAGAGAAGGCAGTTCAAGACTAAGAGAGACTTAATTCTGATTTGAATAAACCAACTAGAAGAAGACATTTTGGGGTACAATGGGGAAATTTGAATACAGACTGAGTATTATATGATATTAAAGCATTTTTTAATATTAGTATAATAATGGTATTGTGGTTATGTAAGAAAATACTCTTATTTAGAGATGGATAATCAAATATTTAAAGATGAAATGTCGTGATGTCTTGGACTTGCTTTAAAATACTTTAGCAAAAAATTAGATAAATCAAGTATAGTGAAATGTTAATAATTGTAAATTCAAGATGATGGGTATGTATATATAGGCATTATATCCTGTCTTTTATGTATATTTGAGGTTTTCCAATTTTTTATAATTGAAAAAACTAAGCAAATGATATGAGGTTGTTTTAACTTCTGGTAGAGGAGGGGTTGCATAAGAAAGAAAATGTATCATAATTTATTACTTATTTCAGCAGTAAATAACATTTATATAGACAGTAATGTACCCATAAAGTATTGATTTCAAAATTGAGGCAATGGCAGGAGGGAAAATTTGCCGGAGGAGAAAGAAGAGGATATTGGTCCAAGAGGCCTAAATTTTCACATACCATAATATAAAGGCAGTAAAAAAAATCGATAAATCAAGAAAAAGAATGTAAAACATAATTCCAGGAAAAACAGATTAAACGATAGAAAACATTTACCTCTAGGGGGCAGGATTGGAGGAAAAAGGGGTTAAGCAGGGACTTAATATTTTTCATTACCTCAGGGAAAGGTTAGGAAACAGAAGGAAAGTCATACATAATTTTACTTCCTAGAGACTTCCTATTTTGTGCTACATGCCTTTTAAAATATGTATGCTATTTTGATACAAATAAAATTAATTTCTAAATAATGTCTGTTTATTATATCAGCTAACTATTTCATATTTCTGAAAGAATGTTTGTTATAATTAATTCATGATTGAATAAGTTAATCTGTCCTAAAAGTACGTAAGTAAAAGTTTTCTAAAGCTGGATGTCAGAAAAGATCAGTTCACAGGTGGCATACTTCAGCATCATAGTAAAAATTCATTGTGAGAAACTGAGCCATGAGTAACCACGAAAATGGTAAGATGGCTCCTTTCAGGCCTGCATTACTCAGTAGCTTGATCCTTGAAAAGGATTTTCACATTTTATCAATTCTTTGCTTTATATTCCTTTACCATAATTTACACTTACTTTTATTTATACTCACTAGAAATATTTTGTAGCTCATAAATACTTTACCTTTTATATCTTTCATATCAAATGTCTCTATTTTTATATTGAGTCATAACCCCAAAACACTGGTAAATCTGGTCTAATTATAGTTTACCAGGTATCATGTTTTGCTTAACATAAATTTCCATAGCTTTCCTCATGCGTTTTGAGTCCTAACTCCTTTCCATTAAATTTGTGTTTTAGATCTAGTACACACAGAGGGGCAGCTTCAAAATGAAGAAATTGTGGTAAGTAAATATACTTTGAAGAGATAAACATCATCTTTAGCTAGTACAATGTATTTAAATTTTAAACCTATCTCCATAGTCATATAGTTAGTAAATACCTTCATAATATTTTAGGTTCTGTATCTAATCAACCAAGAGAGAAAGTTATTCTCAGTAATAGTATAATCTAATGTAGCATTCATCAACTAGGCTCTTATCTGTCATAAACAGAATGACGGCAAGGATAGAACAGAATTCACTTATTTGTTTTTGTTTTATGTTGTTCATTCATTTATTTTGAAGTATTGCTTTCCTTTCTTTCATTTGATTTTGTAGGCTTTTAAAATAGGAATTAAAAAAAGTCCAGATGCCAAAATTGGATGTTAATTTAAGCATGAAAGGACAAGGGAGATTCAGATAAGGGGAACTGGAGCATAGGATCAGCAACAAATAAGCCAAAGAGAGATGAGGTGAAAAGAGAACCAGCGTTTTCCGACAACATTCCATTGGGCTTTGCTTGTCAAGTGGAATGAATGCCTGTTGATGAGGAAGCTGCTGCCTCATCAGGAGTTTCTGTGTTCCTGCTAGTTTGTCAGGCCCCTGTTTTAGACAAACACACAAAAGTGAAACAACTGAATATGTATTTTTTTAGGTAGTAGTGCTTATTCAATTAAAGTTTCTCTAAATGAGGGTTAAAGGTACCTTGTCCATTAAGTTTCCTTCTTCACAACATACTGGCAGCTATGAAATCAGTGTTTTGAAAGATTCTGCAGGAGTTTTTGAATCCTATTAATTATCTTCTCCACCACCCAAATGTGCCTAATGACTGGGAAGGCTACTGGGGACCAGAAGAAGGAATTTTATCTTCCTGTTTTCTCCATCTTTACCAATAGGTTATGATTAGTAAGCCTCTGCTAAGTATTTTGTTTCAGAACTCACTGTGGATCAGGGAGGATTGCACCACTATAGAGCATTTGGAGAAAAGTAAGGGGGAATGGAAGGCTGGAAATCACCCATAGTTTTTGTACCCCGGCACAGCAGCTTTTACAGTACTTATTTTCTTCTAGTTATTGACCATATGCATCACATGTTATTATAGTATGTGTGAAATTTTTTGTATCTTTTAAAAATTTAATATTATATCACAAGCTTCATAAATTACGATTTTAAAATTAAATGTATACAGATAGGCAAATGTTAACTAATTTCCTTTTTTCTCCCTCTGTCATTATAGTTAATGCTACAGGGACATCTTATGCCTGTTCCTTCTACTATGATATTCACCTTTTAAATTATTTTCTAAAATTAAATTTCAAGGAATGGAATTACTGGGTCCATGGGTATAGACATATTTATAGTTCTATATATATATATATATATATATATATATATATATATATATGTCAAATTGCTTTTCAGAAAAATTATGTAAATATAAAAATATAGTAATGTTTCAAAGTAGTGTATTCTGAGGCATCATCCAACAAATGAAATCTCTTAGCATAAAAATACTTTAGAAAAGCATTTTTAAAAATTAATCAAGAGTTGTACAGCGTAATTTTTAGCTCCACCTGCTAGTCTTCATCAAACCAAGGCTGATATTTGGCTGATACACATCAGAATAACTGTACCATTATATGTGGCTGATTTCTCTTCTGAATATTGTATCTCATAAATCATTACAATTTAGAATATTATTCTTGCATCAAACCCTTCTGCTCACTGCTTGTTTAATGGTTAACTAGGATTGATAAAAGCATCTGTGTTGATCTTTCCCCTACAGGCACGTGATGGCCACGCCACTTACTTGAGATTCATTATTGTATCAGCCTTTGATCATTTTGCATCTGTGCATAGCGTTTCTGCAGAGGGAATAGCAATCTCAAATCTTTCTTAACAATTATAACAAAATCCTCTTGCACAATTTTAATAATATATTTATTGAAACATGAAGCTGTCGTTATTAAAGGGATTTGTAGCAATCTGTTTCAGTTTTTATTTATTTTCTCTGTAACATTTTGTAGGAATTTGGTTCATCAGTCAGTAGTGATGGCCAACATGTGGGCTATAAGAAAACTTTTACTTCAGCATTCAATTTAATCAAGGAAATGACTATACATGAAAACTCAGCTGATAATACCTTGTGTCCCCACAGCATCTAATATGGTGTCCTTCGGATGTCAGTGCATTAATTTTTTAATTGATTGATTGATTGATGCAAAGGGCTAAGTGAACAATATGGACAGTAAACAATGTACAAGTTCAAGAAAGAGAAAGTCTTTTATGAGAAGGTTTCATTGAGGTCATAGAACTTGAGCTTTAGCTTATTTTTTTCTTTTAATTTTATTTTGTCCTCATTTGCAGACCTTGGAGAAGAGTTAGGAAACACATAATCTTACTTCCCAGTGATAACTAATGTTGATATTATTTGATTTTCTTTATACTTTGGGGAGGTTAGGAACAGGATAGGACAGCTTGGAGGGAAATAAAACTTCTCTGAATGTATCTTATCATATAGCTTGAATTTGAATACATAAATTTAGTCAAAAAGTTAAAAAATTAAGCAATTTCAAAATATTGAAAACAAACAGAAATGCGTAAACCTAACTTTATTACAAATTGATAAACACACAGGAAAAATAACATTAGAACATAGTATTTTATCTATGCAGTCTATATTCGTTTCTTAGGGCTGCTATAATAAAGTACCACAAACTTGGTGGCTTAAAACAATAGAAATTTATTCTCTCACAGTTCTGGAGGCTAGAAGTTGGAAGTCAAGGTATTGGCAGCGTTTGTTCCTGTTGGAGTTTCTGAGGGAGAATACGTTCCATGCCTTTCTCTTAGCTTCTGGCTTTGGTGGCATCTCGGCATTCCTTGACTTGTGGCACCATAGCTCCAATTTCTGCCTCCGTCATCGTATGGCATTCACTCTGTGTGTCTTCACATCATCTTCCCTCGATGCATATATTTGTTTCTGTGTGTCCTCTCCTCTTCTTAGGGACTCCAGTCATATTGAATTAAGGGCCCAACCTACTCCAGTATGACCTCATCTTAACTAATTACATCTGCAATGACCCTGTTTCCAAGTAAGGTCACATTCACAGGTATCAGGGGTTAAGACTTCAACATATCTTTTTAGAGATACAGTTCACCCCACAACGCAGCCTTAGTGAAATATATATGTGATTGTTAAATTTATGTGTCATATTGACTGGGTCACAGTGCCCAGATATTTGCTCAAGCATTATTCTAGATGTTTCTTTGTAGGTATTTTTTGAATGAGATTAACATTTACCTTGGTGGACATTGAGTAAAGCAGATTGCCCTCCATAATGTGGACAGGCCTCATCCATCAGTTGATGACCTTAATAAAACAAAGACTGATCTCTCCTGGGCAAGAAAGAATTCTGCCAGCAGATGGGCCTTCTGGCTTGTACTGCTACCTCAGCTCTTCCCTGGGTCTCTGACCAACTCTACAAATTTTGGACTTGTCAGCTTTCATAATCACATGATACTTTCTGATAACTTGCTTACCAATCTCAGCATTCTAGAGTGGCAAGAGAGGAATAGCCACAATGTGCAAAACACTTTGAGTCTTTGCTCACATTGTATTTGCTATCATCGTGCTTTTCCCAAATCATGTCATATGGCCAAACCCAGAGTCAGAACAAGAGGGGTCCACCTAGGGCATGGATACAAGGAGATGTGACTACAATGGGGGTGGAGGCAGAGAGTAGTGGCTATTACTGCTGGAATCTACTATAATTAAACACTGTATGCCTCCTAATGTGATGCAATATGAAGCACATAGACCAACCTATGAAGTGTTCTTGCAAAATTACTGAGCCTGAGTCAAATCAAGTTCTAGAGTTATCTTTCATTTTCAGGAAATTCAAGGGAGAGAGGAACAAGTAAAATGACACCACAAGGAAGCAAGTAGACTTGTAGCCATTAATGCAGCTCACAGAAATGCCCAGATCTCTGCCTTCCCTGCCCATGGTAAGATATAATTCCTGGCCTTCTTTGTTTGGGTAGGGCCATGTGATCAGTTTTGGCCAATGAGATGAAAGGTAGTTGACCTCTAGGCTGAGCATTTAATTGCTTACAAGAGACCCTTCAAAGCCCTTTTCTCTCTCCCCTGGTGACCAGCTGTGATGTTCTACATAGTTTAACTACTTCATCGTTCTACCTCTGGGAGTAAGACTGATGATAGCAGGTAGCAGAGCTCCCAGTCAGTCTGAGGTAGACATATAGAAGGAGAAATAAAGCTTCATTGTTTAAACCAATGAAATTTTGGAATTGCTTGTTACCCTAGCATAACCTGGCCTATCCTGACTGATATACAGAGAAATCTAGAATGTGGCTTATCCTACAGGACAAGTGGCCTGGTTTCTTCAACAATTCAGTGACATGAAAAATGTTAATCAGTTAAGGAAGTGGGTCCATTCCAGATTCAAGGAAATGTAAGATCCCCAATAAACACATGCCATGTGTGGATCTTATTTGGATGCTGATTTGAACAAACCAACTGAAAAAGACATTTTAAAGATAATTGGGGAAATCTACTTATGGACTGGGTATCATTGTTCATTTTGCTAGGTGTGAAATACTGGCATCAAGCTTATGTAAGAAAAGGCCTATATTTTTCAGAGATGTGTATGTATGTATGTAAGGTAAAAATGTAAAAAATGTAAGGTAAAAATGCGTATGTATGTATGTAAGGTAAAAATAACATGATATCTGGGATTTGCTTTAAAATACTTGAGCATATTTTTTAAAGGAAAAAAATGTGAGTTGAAGCAAATACAGTAGTAAGTTATTGGATCTGGGTTATGGATATATGGGGCTTCTTTGTACTAGTCTCTCTACTTTTATATATGCTTGAAATTCTTCATAATAGAAAATTTAAAATAAATAATGCTATGGAGGATATCTTTATGCGTAAATCTTTTCCTCCCTCTCATATGATTTTTTTTTAGAAGAGATTCCCAGCAGGAAATTAGTCAAAGTTAGGAACAGTTTTAAGTCTTTTGATACTTTCTGATAATTTGCTTATCGAGATTTGTTGCACAAATTTACTCTCGAGAAGGTAGGTTTTAGATCAATGGAGGAGAGTAGAAAAGGTCCTTCAAGGGTGACGTTGGTGCCGTCAAATACATGAGGGTGAGTGAATACTCTCATAAAACATATTTGAGGAGTGGTGAATACATAAGTCTGACTAGGGCAAAGGGTAAGACCAAAACCGTACATTACAGCCAGATCACAGAGAGCCTTTAATGCTTTCAATATTTTCCCATAACACTGGAGCCATTTAAGGTTTTTGAGAAGGAAAGTGACTTAGAGCAATTGTGTTCATGTTCAATAAAATGAAACGCTGAAGATTTTCTTTTTGCCAGCTTCCTAAACTGGAATGTCAATAATTCTTCTTGTAAGAAACACTGTGTTAAGGCTTACAGATTGCTGGAAGGGATCTCCGGAGGTTATCTGATTGTGATCTCTTTGGCACAAGCCTAGTAAATTATCTTTAAATCTTCTCTGTTTCTGTCTTCTGTGGATGCAGAGAACAAGTTCTCAGTGTAGTGCTTGTAATACCCCTTTATGATATTTGAAAACAGCATTCCTTAACCTTCATTTTTCAGGCTTTAAAAACTCATTTTCGCTTGATAAAACCATTCTCAGTTTCAAGCAATAGGTTTAATAACACGTGGCTTTATCTTTTGTTTTTCACTGCTGAAGCCCGTCATTTTTTAAAAGTCTCACTTGTCCCATAACCTAGCCCGCTCATTTGGTCTTTTCTCCACCTGTCCGCTGATTCCTGACTGCCACTGTGCTGTGTGATCCAGACCTTTGAATTTGCTATTTCATCTGCCTGGAAGGCCCTTTCCTTAGGTAGCTATACAGCTAGCTTCCTCATTGACTTCGGATCCTTACTTAAAATCTCCTTTGCAGTCAGGCCTTCCTCACTGTATCTAAAGTTATAGTGTCTCCCTACCCTCACCACCAGCCGCCGACCCCCAACCCTGGGATGAGGCAGTAGAGGTAGCCACCCTGTGTCCTGTGCTTCAGGGGTTCTTGTACCTTACTCCTCTTTTCTCACTACCACTAAAATTCAACTTAGATTCTTTTTCCTTTAATGATATCCCAAGCATGCCGTGAAAGATGAGGCAGTACAGCCTCCTTTCAGTGTGAATATCTTGGATGGGGGCTCAATTGAATGAATTGCCCTTGGCTCCCATGCCCTTTTAGGGACAGCCCTGCTTATCACTATCTATTTCGTCTTATTTTTCCTATATTATCATGTTTATTGTCTCTCTCCTTCACTAGAGTGTAAGTTCCACCGGGCAGGGAGTTTTATTGCTTTTGCTCATTACTATATCCTCAGGACTTAGAATAGTGCCTGGCTCATAGTAGATTTTCCATAAATATTTGTTGATTAAATACATTAATTTTTTCATTTATTTGCATGTCTGTATATCTCTTTATACTGTAAAATCCTTGAGGAGTTTTTAATAAAGCTAGCTAATGATGTATACATTTTTGGATCACTTACTCTGAGTCAGTGCTTATCACAATATCTTGCATAAAGTTAAACAACCAATCAGAATTTTTTTTAAAGGGATGGATTGAAAAAATAAAAAATCTAGTAACCTTTTAACTATGTACTCAAGCAAGGCAACGACATATTATATAGATGAAAATTGTGTCTATCACTTGTTTATACAGACTTGTGAAAAAAAGCATTGCGTTGTGTTACATCTCAGGCATCTTTGGGGAACTTTACCTTCTAGGTGTTGTTCCAACAGCCCTTTGTAGCTTGACCCTGGTAGCAAGCCTTCTAAAAACTAGTACATGGCAGACCACATCAAAGTTTTAAACACATGTATAGCCTTTGAGGCAGAGATTCCATTTCTAGGAATCTATTCTAATAATCAGGTAAGTGACAAATGGACAAAGACTTCTAGCAATGTTGTTTTTACAAGATGGGAAACTGGAAAAGTCTATGCATCCATAGATTAGTACGTGTGATACATACAGACATCATATTTCATACTTTATACAAATCACATATAAACATAGAATGGTTACTTGTGGTTAAGGATAGTGGAGAGAAGGAATTTTTACTCCCCTCTCTCAAAAGTTATTATTTACAATAAAAAAGATTATAAAGAGAAAGAAAAAAGTTTTCTCTTCAAGAAAGTAGTTACAACCTCTAACTGGGAAGCATATCCGCTAAATACAGTGAAATCAGGATTTGGTGAAGGTAGAAGCTGAGAATGACATACTCTCCCAGAGCTAGACATTTTCTTAAACATGTCACAGTTCTAGACTTTGACTAGATTGAAGCAGTCTTGGTCTACAGGTGGCTTTAGGTGGGTCCCCATAGGGCTCAGGTTAATCATTCAAATGGCAGGGGAGATTGAGCTGAAGGAGAAACCAGGCAAGATACACCGAAGGAGACTGCTGGAGGGAAAGCATGGTGAAGGAGGGTGTGCTAGGTAGCTCAGGCTGCCGTAACAAAATACCGTGGACTGAGGGACTTAAACAACAGACCTTATTTTCTCACAGTTCTGAAGGCTGAAAGTCCAAGATTAGGGTGCCAGCCTGCTGGATTTCTGGTGTGATGTCTCTTCCTGGCTTGTAGGTGGCCATTGGCTTGCTCTGTGCTCTCATAACCTCTTCTTTGTGCAAATACAGAGGGAGGGAGAGAGAGAGAGAGAGCGCGCTCCCTGGTGTCTCTTCTTATAAGGACATTAATTCTGTGGTATCAGGGCCCCACCCTTATGAACTCATATAACCTTAATTATGTCCTTGTATGTCCTGTCTCCAAATACAGTCACATTGGGGCTTAGGGTTTCAACATATGAATCGGGAGTTGGGGGAGGGTATAGCATGTGCTTAGCATGCATGAGGTCCTGGGTTCAATCCCCAGTACCTCCATCAAAAACCAACCAACCAACAAAACAAACAAACCAAATTACCTCCCCCTAAAACAAAAACAAAAAATATGAATGGGGGGTGCATAATTAAGTCCATAGCAGGTGGTGAGAAGGCAACCAAACCAGTGTGACCGAAGTGGATTTCTGGGAGTCCTGTCACAAAGGAAATAATAAACTTAATGAGGGTATTTAAGACAACTAATCTAAATCAAAGTTGCAGATTGCCCCAGCTTACTCTTCATACTTCTATACTTGTTTCAGCAAATAAGGAGCCCTATTAAAGAAGAGTAATCAGAAAAGACCTGGAAGGGGATTGCTTTAGATCAGGGTTTCTAAAAATAGAGCTTTAGAGAGGAATTCTTGTAAGAGTGATTTACTGAGGGAGTGCTCTCAGGGAGCAGGATAGGTCAGGGGAGAAAGTTAATCAGAGATGGCTTCAGATGAAGTCTGGCCTCAGCCTGATCCCATGGTGAGCTCTGGAGCATGAATGACACGAGAGAGGTATGCTCCCCAACCTTGAGGCAAGGGACCAGGTCTTCGTGTTCCCAAATCCATCAGTCATTGGCCATGGGCCACCCTCTGGGGAACAACCTCTCAGGCATTGCTGGGTAATAAAGCTCCTATCACTTAGGGTAATGCTCAGGCAAAGGGACACCTGTGAGCCATTAACAGCCAACACTTAGAGCGGCTGGCAGATGGTTGCATTGGCTTGGAAAGGGGATCTCAGCAGAAAACTAATAGCAACTATAGAGCAGTAGTTCTCAAAGTGGGGTCCCTGGAACAGCATCCTCCTCTTCCTCATCTGAGAACTTGTTAGAAACGCAAATTCCCTAATCCAGCCCCAGATCCACTGAGTCAGAAACTCTAGGGGTGGGACCCATCAATCTGTGATTCAGCAAGCCCTCCAGGTGATTTTGACACATGCTAAAGTTGAGAGCCACTGTGCTATAGGGACCTATGACTAGAAACTGTAAAACAGAAAGGTGCGGGGGAGGAGGAAGCAGAAAAATAGGGCAGTTACAGAACATTTGTTGCAAGAGAAGTTACACAAAGAACACATCAAGAATGGGGACCCATAGCTATCTCTCAAAAAGACAAAAGGAGCTCAAAGAAGAGATACAAAGATTTAAAGAAAAAATGAGATGCAGAAGATGAAAAGTGAGTTGGCAGAGCTAAGAAAAGAAATGGAAGAGAAAAATAAGAGTGTTAACTGTATCTGAGGTGAAAGCCACATAAGCAAAGGAATGGTGGTAGTACTTGCAGCAGTCAGTGTTCAGTTAGGAAAGCTGAAATCAATCTAGATATGTAGTTAAAGCTGTGTGAGAAATAACTCAGGGAATTTGTTACAAAGAAAGCGTTGAAAAGGCTGGGAAAACAAACAGGAGACAGGAAAGTAACCCAGTGCTGGAACCCATGGGCCACACTGTTGACCAGTGGACGCAACATCACTGCCTCTGAACAGAAGCCACTCCACCTCATGGCTGGTGGTCCCGAAGCAGCTGCAACGCACAGTCTCCTGCACTCCCTACAGCCAGACATGGAGAAGGGCTTCCCCCTTCCACCTGCCTTCTAATCGCTACCAGCACTTCCCATGGGCAGAACCTAACTAGGATGCAAGGTTCAGGCTTCTAGCTCCCTAAAATCCAGAGGAGAGTGGAAAAGAGTGAGAACCAACAAGCCATTTCTGGAACAATAATAAACCCAAATTAGGGAGAATCAGGATCAGAGAAGAGAAGAGAAAAATCACAACTTAGACAACAAAAGAACAAAGATTTTTTTAAACAGTTATAGAGAAGATACAGTTATGGAAGAAAAGGGGCTACAACACACTGATAATTATAGTTTCTGAGTAAACTAATGCCACAGAAATGAAGTTCAAGGCAACAGAAGAAAATGTCCCTGAAATTTAAAAATAAGAAGTCCTTATATAACTCCTAGAGGAAAACATAGGCAGAACACTCTGACATAAATCATGGCAATTTTTTTTTCAAGCCAGCTCCTAGAGTAATGGAAATAAAAGCAAAAATAAACAAATGGGACCTAATTAAACTTAAAAGCTTTTGCACAGCTAAGGATATCATCAACAAAACAAAAAGACAACCCACAGGATGGGAGAAAATATTTGCAAATGATGGAATTGACAAGGGACTAATTTCCAAAATATACAAACAGACCATACAGCTTAATGTCAGAAAACATGCAATATAATAAAAAAATGGGCAGAAGACCTAGATAGACATCTCTCCAAAGAAGACATTCAGATGGCCAATAAGCACATGAAAAGATGCTCAAATTATCAGAGAAATGAAATCAAAGCTACAATGAGGTATTACCTCATACTAGTCAGAATGGCCATCATTAAAAAGTCTACAAATAATAAATGCTGGAGAGAGTGTGGAGAAAAAGGAGCCCTCCTACACTGTTGGTGGGAATGTAAATTGGTGCAGCCACTATGGAGGACAGAATGGAGGTTCCTTAAAAAATTAAAAATAGACTTACCATATGATCCAGCAATCCCACTCCTGGACATATTCTGAGAAAACTATAACTCAAAAAGACACATGCACCCCATTGTTCACAGCAGCACTATTCACAATAGCCAAGACAAGGAAACAACTTAAATGTCCATCAACAGGTGAATGGATAAAGAAGTTGTGGTGTATTTATACAATGGAATACTACTCAGCCATAAGAAAGAATAAAATAATGCCATTTGCAGCAACATGGGTGGACCTGGAGATCATCATTATAAGTGAAGTAAGCCAGAAAGAGAAAAGAAAATACTATATGATATTGCTTATATGTGGAATCTGAAAAAAAAAAGGGACAAATAAACTTATTTACAAAACAGAAACAGATTCACAGACATAGAGAACAAACTTATGGTTACCATAGGGGAAGCGGGTGGGAAGGGATAAATTGGGAGTTCGAGATTTGTAGATGCTAATTACTATATATAAAAATAGATAAACAACAAGTTTCTACTGTATAGCAGAGGGAACTATATTCAATATCTTGTAACCTATAATGAAGAGGAATGTGAAAACGAATATGTGTATGTACATGTATGATGGAAACATTATGCCATACACCAGAAATTGGCACAACATTGTAAACTGACTGTACTTCAATAAAAAAGAAGGCAAAGTTAAAAAAAAAAAGAAGTCTTAAGATCAAAAGAGGATATTTTATTTACCTTAGTTCGGGCCACTATAACAAGAATACCATAGCCTAGGTGGCCTGTAGACAATGGAAATTTGTTTCTTACAGTTCTGGAGGCTGAACTCTGAAATCAAGGTGTCAGCAAGGTTGGTTGGGGGCTTTATTCCAGGGTTACAGACTTCTTGAATCCTCAGATGGTGGAAGAGGGCAAGCCAGCTCATTGGAGCCTCTATTAGAAGAGCACCCATCCCATCCATGAGCTCCACCCTCAAGACCTAGTCACTTCCCAAAAGCCCCACCTCCTTACACTATGACATTGGGCATAAAGATTTAACATGTGAATTTTGAGAGGACACAAACATTCAGACCATAGCAGTATTCCAAAGAAATTTTGATGTAGAACAATCAACCCTGGACTATGTCTTGGGGAAGTTACTGAACTTCAATATGAAGAAAGAATTGGACAGGTTTTCAGACAGAATAAAAGCAATTAAAAGCTAGGGAAAATAAATTAGGCTGGCCTCAGACTTTTCCTCTCATGACTGCTAGACAACAGTGGTGTCCACAAATCTCTGAGGTAAAGGGACTGAAACCCAACCAGGTATCCTTCAGGCTTAAAGACAGGTAGCTGGTTGTTTGCAAGCACATAAGACTTCAAAGAGTACAGGACCCGTGTGCCCTTCTTCAAAAAACTGCATACTTGAGACTTTCAGTGATGTCATCTTTACAGCCAATTAGGTATCCTGGAATCCTTCCTCAGCTGAACACCTAACAGTCCTGGATAAAACATTTTAATACAATCTTTTGAAATTAATGGCTGAGCTTACCAGAAACAAAATTGTCTGTGGCCAGGAACAAATTGAGAGCCTGACTCTGGGGAGGTGATCAAGCATTCAAGTCACTGGGCCATTCTGGGGGCATCTGCCAATTCCTGACAGTCAGAGCCTGGGTTTCCTGCACCTCCTGCCAGGCACATAAGGCAATGTCTTGTATAAGCCAGAATGGGCATAGGCTCAGAGCCCCACATAAAGCCAGGTACCACAAAGGGCATCACCCTTAGAGAAGAGGTGAACTAAAGGTAAATCCTCTTGTTGAGAGCAGACAGACATGTTGTGCTGAAGCATCTTCTTCAAATATTCTGGGAGAGGGTATAGCTCAGTGGTAGAGTATGTACTTGGCATGCACAAGGCCCTGGGTTCAATCCCCAGTACCTCCATTAAAAATGAATAAATAAACCCAGTTACCTCCCCTTCCAAAAAACGAAACAACATAAATCAGTTGATGTTCTGAATGCAAACTGTGTTCGGAGTGGGATAGGACATATTAAGAAGCTTCTTTCTCTTACTCATACTTTGCAATGTTAGCCAAGCAGAATTGGTTCATTCTTGATACCGAGACCCAGAGAGGTCACCTTCAAAGAGAAAATCCCTTTCTTCATCATGAATCAGAATTGTGTTCAAACCTCTTGCAGTCTGCTGGGCAGGTTCTTTTTTTCCACCTTTGCCTATGTTGTTTAGACCACTTAAATGACCTCCCTTCCCATGCTTTCCAGGCTTCCAGATTATGGATGTACTAGGCATATTTGAAGATGAAGCCCAGAGGCCATCACCTCCATAAAGTTTTCCCAGACCCATCCAGCTCAGATGGATTGCTGTCTCCTCTGTGCTCTCTAAGCATTTAGTCTTTACCTCAGCTCTAACCCATAGTATTCCACCTTGGATCAGTAATATTGCAGTGTATGTCCCCCACCTCCACCCCAGAAGGTTAAGCTGCTGGACTTCGTCCATCTTTGCATCACTCAGAAACCAGAAAAGAATCAGTACTCAGTTAATGCGTGAAGCATTACATTGAAGAGAATTGAATTGGAATGTTTGGGATCAATTTAGCTTTCTGAAAACTCCTCAGTTCCAGCTACTATTATTTAAAACTGAGTGGTTTCTGTGCATTTATAGACATGAATTGAAGGACCATTCGAGAAGTGATTCAGAGGTGCATGGCCTTATACTCTGCCTTCTTTTGTGGAATTTAGTACTTTGGAAGAACAGTGCTCAGCTGTGCTTTAGCCCCACCATTTCACAGCTGTTCGTTCTCAGTGTACCCTCACAAACTCACACCAGTATTGGTCAGTCATTTTGGTAGGATGAAGAATCCTTATTCAGACTGTCCTGTCTTTTTTCCATCCCCTACCCCCTAAAAAGGGGACCCAAGGAGGCAGTTGGGGAACAATAATGTTGGTAACAATAATAGCCAGCACTTTAATGGCATTTTCTCCAAGCCAGGCACAATTCGGAGTGCTTTACTCACAGTCCTCTGTAGGGTAGGCACTGCTGATATATTGTTTCATAGTTTAATATACCAAAGCAGCTTAACCACAGTCACACAGCCAGCAGGGTGCAGAGCTGGGACTCTGGTTTGAAGTTGGAGATAACCTTCCCAGACCTTCCACAAGTTACTTAACTCCGAGCCTTGTTTTCCTCATCTGTAAAATGGGGCTAATAATCTCCTCTTTGAAATATATAGAAATTAAATAAGATTACATATCTGAAAGTGCTTGTGCCTGATAGATAATCAATAATAACTATTTTTAAAAGAGTAAAATAGCAACATTAATAATCAACATTAATAATACCATTGTAACAAATAAGGCAGAGCCAAGGAGAAGGTGTTTTCATGTTAGAAAAATATCTCCCAAGCTCATGCTTTTATGCCATGTTGTAAATGCAGTTTGATTCCAATGTGACCATTCTCTAGCAGTTCACAAGGCAAGACATTGTTAGTATAGTAATACATAGAGACCAAGTGTTCTTTCCGCCAAAGGAGGGCATTCCAGCATATGGTATTTTTGCTGAAGAGATTACATTGGTCTATCATAAAACATAGAACAAGCTGACACAAATTAGCAAAGACAGTGTAAAGATGACACTGAAGCCACCAAAATAGCCCAATACATTTTAATCATTCTGTATTAACTTGCTGCATCTTAAAACATTTTCTTTCAAATCGAGCCACAGCTGTGTGTACTTTAGGCTGTGGCCGTCATAAACAAATATGAAAAGAAGCAGAGTTAAAACAGATCAATACCAATGGTTATCCATTAGTCTGATGTCATCTAACACAAATGACAGTTAAGAGACTTGTGAAGAAATCAGAGAAACAGAATTTCAAATACGAGCTTCTGTAAAACTGAATGACAGCTTTGAGGTGCCTGTTATCTAGTTTGGTCAAGGTTATAATGTTTTCAGGAATCCAGTCCTCCCCACAGGTGACTTTTGATAAGGGAAGATGGTGGAAGATTCCCAGGTTCAGAGAGCCAGATTTCTATGAAATAAATTCAAAGATGGTAAAGTGAGTACTCTCTTCTTCTACAGTAGAATTGAAGATATATTACTATGGAAACCCACCACTCATCACCAGCACCACCCTCTGTTTTAAATCTTTTGGCAAGAATGAAATGAACATACAATGAACATGGTCTGCACCACAGGGGCAGTGTGGAATTGTACCTTAACACCCAACTTTCTTGTGGCTTCATTTTCTCATTGCAACAGTTGTTCGCTTAGATCAGAAAAATCTGGGCTAGTGATTCAGCTGGGGACACAGATCAAGACGTAAACATCAACTGTGATGGGGTTGGGGAGCGAGTCAAGCCTTGAGGAGCCCTCCTGTTGTAACAGGGGGAATCTGTCCAGATTAACTGTGGAGCTTTTCCAGAACGGCACGCACTTCCTCTGGATGGTAGTTCCATGGACCAGGTTTACCCTGCAAGAGAAATGAATCAGCATTGTTAGATTCCCGACTTGCAGGAATATGTTGGTCTGGAGCTGAGTTGAGAGGTTTGGGCTGGTGATATGTATGTGGGAGTTGTCAGGATGGTGGAGTCAAGGGCAGACGCCTGGGAAGTGGATGAGTACACCCAGGGAGAGTGTGTGGAGTGGCACCAACATTTAATGGGAAGACTGGAGAGAGAAGTAGGAGGAAAACCAGAATGAGTAAAGTGAATAGTTTTCCAAAGGAAAAAAGGCTCTATACCAATAAGCTTCTCTTTCACAATTGGACCTTCAGACTGGCCTTATCTTCCTCTCCACCGCTCACGTCAACTTCTGCCCATTCTGCATCAGAACCACCTCTGCGTCTCCAATCCCAAGGCCTCAGTTCAACCCTCTTCACCTCCAGTCCCAAGTCCCTGCCCCCTCCAGTCCATTCTTCACCCAACAGGCAGTGATCTTTCTAAAGTACAGATCTGATCATGCCTTTCCCCTGCTCAAAACTCTTCAGTGGCTCCTTTTTGCCCTAAGATGTAGGACAAACTCCCTGGGCCTGAATGAGCCCCTGTTAACCAGCATGCCCCCAATTCTCCATTCACATCCTGCCCTAACATGCCTCAGTGCCTCTGCTCACCCTCTTCCCCATATTTGCAATGATATTCACTCACTATGCTCACGTGGCTGCCTCCATACCCCTTAAAGCCTAAGCCATTGTCACCTCCTCTGAGAAGCCTGCCCTTCCCCAGGGTTCAGAAAATTTACAGTCTGAGACCCAAGTGTGTCCTGATGTCTCACACCCTTCTGTGCTGTAACAGCAGAACTGAATTGTTTTGACAGGGGTAATTTGGCCCACAAAGATGAAAGTATTTACTCTCTGGTCCTTTATAGAACAGATGTGCCGATCCCTGCTCTGCATCTCACAGCACCCGGGACAATTGTCTTCCTTATCCCCGACTGTGAGCACCTTGAAGTAAGGTGTGGGCCATTTTAAACTCCTGCTTGTGCTTCTGGTACTCGCACAGGACCTAACCCAGGTTAGGACTCAGTACCAAGCTTGTCGCAACTGTGCCACTTTACTGCCATGTCGCAGGGAGGAGAAAGGAGGGAGGACCCGAATCCTCGTGCTGTGACCCTTAGCACCTGAGGGTTCATCTGCAGGTTGTTGCTTGTTTCCCCTGCATGACTAGGACCTGCTTGACCCGTGGGCAGAGGAGCATCCACGTGGCTGGGCTTCCTGTGCTCTCCAAGGCTCGAAATCCCTTCAGCAGCTATAAAACTTCATTTCCGTCCTCTCAGGGGAGGCTAATGGTGCCCATGGGTCAGAGGCTGTGCTTACCTCCCTCACCCTGGCCAGGCTGAAGCCTTGAAGGGGGACACGACCTCCAGAAAGGAAGCCTAGACTCAATTCCTGCCTCAAATTCCTGCTTCAGTATTTCCAGCTCCAAACTGCAGAGTTTGTTCTTTGCTGGCGTCTACACCCCCTCCCAGGTTCAGGCTTCCCTCTGAGATCAGTAGCTTGAGGCTCTCCCACTTCTGGCCCATCCCATCCAGAGGCTTCTAGAATTGAAATCAGAGCCTGTGCAGTGTGACCTTGGGCAAGTCAATTTCCTTCTCTGAGCATTGTTTATGAAAAGGAAGCAACAGTCTCTGTCTCTCAGCTTCAAACCAAACCAGGGCAGGGCCAGTCTTCTGGGTTCAGAAGGTAGCCAGGAAGCTACAGCTCTGACCCAAATGCTAGGGACTTTCTTATACATTATTTCATTCCCTCTGAGGTGGGGGCCAACATCTCCATTTTGCAGAAAAGGAAATGGAAGCTCCAGGAAGGGGAAAGACTTGCACGTAGTCATGTGGCTGGTAAATGACTGGGCAGTGATTTGAATCTGGTCTGCCTGATACAAAGCCCTCTCTTTGCCCTTGCCCTCCCTGGGTCCCCTTCCCACCACACCACCTTATACAGGATCCTGCCTTCCTGGAGCACATAGAGCCTCTCGGGCAGCGCTGCGTAGAGCTGGCTGCTCTGGTTCTTCATTGTGTCCACCACCACAGGGCACTGGGGGCTTCTGTCCAGCAGCAGGTGGGCTGCCCGCAGGCGGTCCTGGAGATTCCGGTGATTCTTGATGTCCACGTTATTCTTAAAAGCCCAGCCATCTATAAGAGAAAGGCCGGGCAGAAGGACCCACAGGCATGGCACATACTTCCTGCAAGCTAAATACCTCCCCCGCCCCCCTTTTTACCGAGGGTCCCAGATAGAGGACTTCCCAACATTGGCACTATTGACAATTTGGGCTAGATAATTCTTTGTTGTGGAGGCTGCCCTGTGTGTTGTGAGGGGTTGAGCAGCGTCTCTGGCCTCTACTCACTAGATGTCAGTAGCATCCTCCCACCTTCAATCTGTGACAACCAAAAATGTCTCAGACATTGCCAAATGTCCCCGTGGGACCAAAACCACCCTCTCTTGAGAACTACTGCTCTTAACACCATCTCCTCCAGGAAGCCTTCCCTGACATACTCAGCTGTGTTTTCTTGGGCGAGCTCTTTAAACCTCTTTAAATTCTCAGTTTTCCCATTTTTCCCTCTCTCTCCTTTTTGTCTCCCCACCCTCAACCTTGAGCAAAGGGGAGAAAGAGGGAGGGAAGAGCTGGAGGGAGGAAATGTTTTTTACCTGATGCATGTGCTTCTTCAATGTAAATGATGAGAAAATCTGCTATGGAATTAAAATCTTCAATAAGTCTCTTGAACTGGTCAAATTTGAAAATAAATGAAGGTCAGGTGCAACTTCCAAAATTCAGCACCAAAGGCCTGTTACCTAAAACAAATGGAACCATCATCAACCAATAACCTACACACAGCATTTCGTTTGCAAGCATCATCTTCACTCCTGAATTCATTTCTTATGACCTTTATTTCCCCTCTAAGATGGATGCAGGGCACGGTTGGGGGTGGAATGCTAGAGAGCAGGCTTAGCAGAGGCTGGAGCCAGTTTGCTCCTCTCAAAAGTGAGGGGATTGCATCAGATGGTCTCAGTGGACCATTTGCAGTCACTGGGTGATCATAAAATGATGACAAGGAGAGTCCCTTTCATGCAGTTCATAAGGCAGGCACACATCTATCCTCTCATTGATATGATTCATGTGCTGCAAGGTGGGTGATTTTTTCCCCCTAATTTAGAAACTTGCTCCTTGTCACATAGCAGGAGTTAAAATTAACACTTTGGTTTCTAGGTTCTCAACTTGGTGCTCTTTCCGTTCAAAGTACCACCATTTCCTCATCCACAAATGGACATAATAACAATGTTTACCTTTTAGGGTTGTTCTGAGATTTAAAGAAGTTAAAACAGATAAGGGCTTAAAACAGTGCCTGCCCATAATAGGTGCTCAATAAATGTAAGTTCTTATGTTCTTAGTGCTCATCTCCTCCCTGAGCTGTGCAGAGGTAGGCAGAGGAGGGGACTCCACAATGGGGACCTTAGTAAAGAACCTAGGTTTTTTTCCAAGTACAAGGGGACATCATTGACACATAAAACAAGGATGGTGGATATTGGTTGCAATTTTGGCTGCCTAACCTCTTACCCTCCTTCTCACTTGGAATTCCCTGTTCTGTGTACTGTTGATGTAGCTGTGTGCCCAGCGTTGCTCTGTGGAAGACATCAGGGCCATGTCCGTTCTTGGCTCTCAGAAGCCAGGGCATAGGCAGTGAGTGACCCAGGCTGGGATGATTGGACCTTCCCACCAAAAAAAAAAGACCCTACTAGCTCTTCGATCCTGGAGTTACTGAGATGATAGAATTCATCCACAGCTCAATGGTCGTGCCTCATCAGAGATGGTGGAGTCCTACAGTGGTGATGGATTCCCATGGCAACCACAGTGACAGCAGCTTCCAGGCCCAACTGCTGATGCTACAGGATGGTCCAAGCCCAGCGGCTGTGGTTGTTTCTGGGGAGACTGGATCATCTTTCTAATACATTCCTTTATACATGTATATATGTGAGGCTAAGAAAACCAGAGTGAGTTTCTGTTACTTGCAAGCCAGAACTCTGACTACTACAATAGGCTGTGTAATGAAAAATGATCAGTTTCCACCTGAAGATCACTACTCAATGAAGAAAGGACTGAGGGTGAGAATGGAAGTGGGGCCGAAGCAGTTAGGGGGACTTGTATAAATCCACATGAGAGACAATGGGAGTCTGGGCTAGTGTGTGTGCAGTGGAGAAGCGGAAAGGTGGAACTGATCGGACTTGTTGATGGGTGGGGGGTTCAGGGCATCTTAACTTGCTTGTGGTTTGTTTGGTTAGTTATTCCTTCACCTTGTTCTGCAAAGGATTTGAAGCAGCTTACATGTATAATAAAATTTTAAACAAAAAATTTTTTAAATCATGCCCCTTCGGGAGGCATAGAAGAGATGCCAAGCATTCTTTACACCTGAGCTAATATTTGACTCTGAGTTACCAGGTGGCCAAGTAAAAGGACAAACACAATTGCTTATATATTCTTTATTTTTCAGTACATGAGGAGAAAGCAGGCCAATTTCTCTGGACATACAAAGTTCTCCTTGTCCTTGTCCCACAGGTTTCCTCAGAGGAGGCCCTAGGAGAGAAACTCAGTGCCTGTTGGTTGCATCCTCACCCATGTGACAGGAATGCCCAGACCTCAGCAGGGGAGGCTCAGAGGTCAGTTATGGCCAAGTGGCTGGCCACTGGCCTCCAGTGACCCCAGGGAGTCACCCTTTAGATAAGAACCAAGGGAATTTAAGGTCAGGACCAGTGCTAAATATTAGCTGTCTGGAATATTGTTTCTAATTGGATAAAACATTTCAACATCCACTGATTAGGACCTTGGAAGAAACAGAGCCATTTGTTTAATAATTTATAGTGTGGCTGGATGCAACAATCAGGCTTGAGTGCAAAGTTTAAACTTAGTTCCCTGCTTTCCTGGTAGCAGAGAGAGGAAGGACAGGTGTGACGGGGTGGCTGTGCTGGGGGCTGGCACTATACCACATCCAGAGGCCACAGTGCAGAGAACACCATTTCAAGAACATCAGGCAAAGACTGTCAAGTCCAACTTGTTTGTATAAATGGGAAAACAGCTCTGTAGTAGCTCTAGACTTGAAGCCATCATTGGTTAATTTACAGGTTGATCCTCAAACTAGTAAATTAACCTCCACACCAGGCTTTCCCAGCAGAGAAAGCCCATTTATAGTTACTAGATGACCCCTCATAAATATACTTGGGGAGATTTTAGAAGACTTTTAATGGGGGCTGAAATAAATCCAGTTTCAGACTAACTGCCAGGTACAGAGAAAACAAATCATCCAGACTTGCCTTCTACCACATGTTAGTTAATCAGTGTTTGGCGGTGGGTGTGTGTCTGAGAGTGTGTGTCTGTCCTGCGTGTGCATGTGCGTGTACATTCCAAGGATAAGAGGTGCCTGAGAATTTCCCTGAGCTTCTGTTGTTTTACCCAGTAACAGAAAGCTTCTGTTGTTTTACCCTGAGAGTCAGAGGGCTCAGGTTCTGGTTCTGACCACGAGAACGCTCTGTGTGACTCTGAGCAAGTCCTTTACCTCTCAGGGCCTTTGCATCTGAAAAGTGAAAGCGTTGCTTTAGATTATCTGTAAAGAATCTTCCAGACCTTCCAGTTTGTGGCTCTAAAATGAGTTCCCAGATTCATACCTAAAGCATACAGCAGAGATTCTTAGTGGACTGGTGAGTTTCCAAAGAACTTCCAGGATGTCTTTCTAAGAAACAGAACTGATCATGTTTACTACCTGCTTGAAAGCCCTTCTGGAACTCACCAGTACATTCAGGATAAAGGCTACCCTCTTTGCTAAGACACCTAAAGCCCCGCAAGCTCTGATCCCTAGTGATGTTTCCAGCTTCATCCTTCATCCCTGCATGCCTCCCATACCCTACTCTGGCCAAACTGATTGATGTGCCTCTACATCTCTGACCTCTGCTGCTCCTCCCCTCCTTCCTGCTCTGTTCACCACTCCCCTCGTCCTCACCCATCCCAAGCCTGAGGTCCCTGGACAACCAGCTCACCATCCTCTTCTCCAGGAAGCCTTCACCTGACCACCTTCCTACCCAACCTTACTTCTTCCAGGACTTTCTGGTTCTCTCTCCCACTATACCATCTTCCTCTCTCAGTTATGAAATCTTCCAGTTGTGTTGATATCTGTATCATCAGTACCTGTTATTTCAGGGACTCTGGGCCAGTGGACTGAAAGCCAACTCCATTTTACAAACAAGAGTTCTCTTTTTTCTCTCAGACCCCTTCTCTCTCCATTTCTTCAGTTTCAGGTACAGCAGCAGGGAGCAGAGACAAATAGAACTGTCTTTAAAATGTAACTGACCCACTAGAAAGTGAACAGTTAAAATAAGCAAGCAAATCCTGTCAACTGGCCACGAGGCAAGTTTGGCTTTCATGGAACTGGTCTCTATATGATCAAAATTCAGCAAATTGGCCCGGTTCCATCACAGTTCTTGGCATGAGGCAGACACACAGGAAGGTTTGTTGTTTTTCTCATCGCTCTTATTATCAGTGGTCACTTAGTGAATGCTTATTGAGAAAACAGAGGTCATTTGGGCACTGTGGTGATGAGGGGAACTTGGAATGTTGGTGACAGAGGGGAACAGCCAACAACATCAGCAAAGGCAAAGAGAAGGGAGAGCACATGGGATGCCCAAGAACCAGCAGCTCACCTGGAGGCAGTGGCACAAGGGGAAGCCTACAGGTGAAGTTGGGATGCAAAAGTAGAGTCGGCTCAGGCAGGACACAAGGCTGAGCCTGTGCTTCATCCCAAATGCAGGGGTTGGGGGTGGCCGGAGGTTGCCGAGCTGGGGTGCCTGTTGGCCAGGGATGTGCTTGTGGAAGGGTAATCTGGCAGCCACTTACAAGTTGGGAGGGAAGAGCCACTCACAAGAAGGGAGGAGGAAGACCTGGCAGGAAGAGCAGCTGTGAGGACAGAAAGAGAAAACTGACCCAGAGAGGCCTTTTAGAGCCCAAACAGATAGAGCTGGTTTGCCTGGAAGAGAGAGAGAGAGCTCTTCAACAAATATTTACTGAGCAATTTCTATGAGCAGCAGCATCCAGGGGAACGCTGGGTGAGAGCCAGGGTCTCCTCCTGCACGGAGCTTGCACGCTGGTGAAGGTGACAGACATTAATCAAATACCCATACATAATTCCAAACCAGGACATGTGTGATCAAGAAAAGTTTAGGATGTTAAGCCTACAAGAGGGGGAACCTAGTCCAGGGAAGCTGGGGTTGCCTTATCTCAGGAAGTGTCACTGAGTGGAAGTCTGAAGGGTGAACAGGAGGAGACCAGGCAGAGGCGAGCAAAGAGCAGCCCAGGCGAAGGGGCTGTGCGTTAAGAGCGCTGCTGGAGGCACTGAAGGCCAGTGTGCCTGCTCTGTGGCTTGAGTGCCTGGGAAGGTGGTGATGCCACTCAGAAAAACAGAACCCAGGAAAAGTCCTCATTTCAGGAAGCAGGAAGAAGACATGAAGCCAAAAAAGGAGCAGCTGGAGTAGTAGAATTCAGACCTGTTCAACCCACATGCCCACCCTCCTCAAGCACCCCTCAAGCTTGATTCAGCCCCCTGACCTTGCATGAAGTCCCAGATGTTGCACCTCTGTCCTGACAGGCAGACCACGGGGCAGTCTGGGGCCAGACCCCCTTGCTCGGTCGTGTCCTCCAGTCGCTGCCAACGGACCTTCAGGATGAACCAGAAATACTGGGTGCTGAAGAAGGTGGGGATCCAGTTTTCATAGGAGAAGTGGGGGTTCTGGGCCATGCCAGTCCTCTGACTCATGGCCAGGATGTCCTGCTTGACTCTCCCGGGAAACAGTGTCAGGAGCACTTTGCCCAGGGCCACGTGCAGGACCACCTGAAAGAGCACCCAGAGCCTCTTCAGCCATAGCCCTGGCAGGGACAGCCCCATCTCGGCACAGCCAGAGCTGGCTCTGAGGCCGGTGGGCAGAGAGGCCACCGCCAGGTGACACGGGGCGGAGCTGAACAAAGGTGCAGGGTAGCAGTAGCCAACCCGGACAGGAGGAAAGTGTCAGGACAGAAGGTATTTGCATTCCTGTCAATGGAATGGAAAATTCCAAACCAGTGGCTAAAGGTCTGTTCTAATGATTGTTTCTGAGTCTTTGCCTTCACTTTTGAGAGATATTTGGACTGGGAAACTTCAGATCTTACATTCTCCCTCTGATAAGTTTTTAAAAATAAAGACTTTAAAAGATCACACCTAAAAGGACTCTGGGGCTCCTTAGGAAGGCTCTGTTACAAGTGAACACTAATGTTAATTATTCTTTTAATAATGTAAGTTGTTCTTTAACTATGAAAGGTGTTTTTCCCACTGACAGCTTCTAGCTGGTGGTTGAGTGTTTATGGAGGCAGAGCCCTCCCCAGAGGACTTGGGTCTGGAAGCTCCCCAGGCAGAGACAGAGCTGGGGACATCCCCAAGGAAATCTGGGACTGCGCCTCCCTTAGCACTGGGGGTAGAGTGATAAATACAACACTCTCTGCTCTCAGAGGGGTGTAGTGTAGAGTGGGGAAGAGACAAGTAAACAGAAAATTACCATTTAGTATGTTAAACACAGAGACAGAGGATGAGTGGGGGCCATGGGAGCATGGAGAAAGGGCAGCTGATTCTGTTTAGAGAGGTCAAGAGGACATCCCCAAGGAAGTGATGTCTGTGCTGAAACCAGAAAGACAGAAGAGCAAGCAGTAAATCAGGCAAGTGGGGACAGTGGTCCTGGTGGAAGGAACCACACGTCCAAAGAACTACTATCCAGAGATAGTAAGGCTCACTGGAGAAACTGAAAGAATCATAGAAGCTCAGAGCTGGAAAGAGGTTTAGAAAACATCTAAAACCACTTTCTTTTTTAAGCCAGAAAACTGAGATCCAGAGAGTGGAAGTGGCCTCAGGCCAGTTCTGTTAATAATCTCTAAGGAGGTAATTCACAAAGCTTTAAAGTGCACCCCCTTCCCCAAGGCATTTACATACCTGTGTGTTCGGATAGAGGGAAGGATGACATGAAAGTAGCTGCCACCTTCAAAAAGGTGTCAGTCGTGGCCTCTAGCACACTGACCTTATTTAGAGAAAGAAAAAAACAGCTCCAAAAGATGTTCTGTTTCTGAGCATCTCAATGTAAATGCCACCTGCTGGGTCCCCAAAGGACAAGCACCTGTCTCTTCAAGTTGTAATAACCCCTTGTGTATATATGCCAGGTACAAAGCAATCCTAGATCCCTCGTTTCACTTGTTTTTTCTTATTGTCATCTGTTTGTTTTAAGTAGGCTTTCCCCCGCCAAGCAGTTTTAGGTTCACAGCCAAATTAAGCAAAAAGTACAGGGAGTTCCCATGTACCTCCTGCCCCAACACATGCACAGCCTCCCACACTATCCGTATCCCACCAGAGTGGTGCATTTGTTACAATTGATGAACCTGCATTAACAAATCATTGTCACTAAAATTCCATAGTTTACATAGAGTTCAGTCTTGGTATTATTACATCTGTGGGTTTTGACAAATCTGTAAGGTATGCGTCCACCATTATGGTATCTTAAAGGATAGTCTTGCCCTAAAATCCTCTGTGCTCCACCTGTTCATCCCTCCCTCTCCCCTGGTAACCATTCATCTTTTTGATATTCCCATAGTTTTACCTTTTCAGAGTATCATACAGTCGGAATCATACAGTATGTAGCCATTTCAGATTGGCTTTTTTCACTTAGTAATATGCATTTAAGAAACCTCCATGTCTTCTCATGAACTGATAGCTTATTTCTTTTTAGCTTTGAATAATATTCCATTGTCTGGATGTACCATAGTTTATTTATCTATTCACCTACTGAAGAACATCTTGGTTGCTTCCAAATTTTGGCAGTTATGAATAAAGCTGCTGCTATAGACTCAATGTTTGTGTCCCCCCCCAAATTCATATATTGAAACATAATCCCTAAGGATGGTATTTGGAAGTGAGGTCTTCGTGAGGTGATTAGGTAGTTAGGGTGGAGCCCTAATGAATAGGATTAGTGCCCTTATAAGAGAGACCCCAGAGAGAGCCCTTGCCCCTTCACTGTGTAAGGATGCAACAAGATGGCTATCTAGACACTAGGAAGTGAACACTCACTAGACACTGAACCTACTGGTACCTTGATCTTGGACTTCCCAGCCTCCAAAACTGTGAGAAGTAAATTTCTGTTGTTTATAATCTAGCCAGTCTATGGTATTCTGTTATATTCTGCAGCCTGAATGGACTAAGACAGCTGCCATAAACATCTGTGTTTTTTCATGGACTTAAGTTTTCAACCCATTTGAGTAAATACCAAAGAACACAAATCCTGGATCTCATGGTAAGAGTATGATTAGTGTTGTAAGAAATTGCCAAATTATCTTCCAAACTGGATGCACCATTTTATATTTCCATCATCATGGAATAAGAGTTCCTGTTGTTCCACGTCCTCACCAGTGTTTGATATAGTCTGTGTTCTGAATTTTGGCCATTTGAAGAGGTATGTAGTGGTATCTCATTTGTTTTAATTTGCAGTTCCCTAATGACATATGTTGTTGAGCATCTTTTTATATATTTATTTGCCATCTGTATATTTTCTTTGGTGAAATGTCTGTTCCAGTCTTTTGCTCATTTTAAAATCAGATTGTTCATTTTTTCGTTATTGAGTTTTAAGAGCTCTTTGTTTACTTTAGACAATAGTCCTCCATCAGCTATGTCTTTTGCAAAATATTTTCTCCCTGTCTGTAGCTTGTCTTCTCAGTCTCTTGACCATGTTTTTTTCAGAGCAGAAGTTTTTAATTTTAATGAAGTCCAACTTAACTCTTTTTTCATGAATTGTGACTTTGGTGTTTTATCTAAAAGTCATCACCAAATTCAAGGTTATCTAGCTTTTCTCCTAGATTGTCACTGGGTCTCTGAGGAGAAAAATATATACCTATATCCATATGTAAGTTTATTATACATTTTACTGCTATACAGGTTATGCAGTAAACAATTTACAAGAATAGTAAAATACCCAATATTCCTTATTGCAAATTCCACATAGCCAGTTGATTCTTATAGGATGCTTTCACTGATTTTTGCCAAACTCTTGCTTCTGTAGCTCACCTATGTTTGCAATTGCTGAACAGGATAGTTTGGACATGAATGTTGGTTAATAATTTTCCTTTAAGTTAAGGAGGAAGATGAAAGTGAAAAAATGAAGATATGTGTCAAAATTTCACTATTTGTTCATGATGTGAGGAACTTGTTTTTGAATACTGAAAGAATACTGCCTCAATTTTTTGTGTTATTCACAATACTACAACTATAGTCATAACACATACTTTTATATTTAATCTGCACTTTAATATTTTCTTCATCATTTTCTTAAACCTAGATCAGGGGTCAGCAAACCATGGCTTATGGGCCAAATCTGGCCCTCTGCCTATTTCTGTAAATAAAGTTTTATTGGACCACAGCCCATTCATTTATACATTTGCCTATTTCTGCTTTTGTACTACAACAGCAGAGTTGACTAGTTGCAACAGACTCTGTGGTCCACAAAGCTAAAAGTATTTACTATTCTGGCCTTTATAGAAAAAGATTGTCAGCCTTAGTCCAGACAGCAAACAAAGCAAAAAAATCAACCCTAGACATGTAGCATTTTCTAATTTCTGTGTTGTAAATAATTTCAAATTGCTGATTTTAAGCTACCAAAGTGATGTCACTGTGTTTGTGGAGTTGGGAAGAGGCCCTCAGAAGCACACTGTGTGTGTAAAAACAGGCATCATCTCAAGAGCACAGATGATAGTGAAATGTAGGGCAATATTGAGGAAGTGATGTTTTGAATATGATTACCTCTATTGTTAATATAAGTTATTTAATTGTTAATAAAATTTACTTAATTGTAAATTGATATAATTTAATTTTTAATAATGGCTAGGTTGCAATAACTGGCTCACAGAATTCCTGAAAATTTGACAACCAGCTCTCACTGAACACATTCTAGCACACCACTGGCCTGGCTCCACTCACTAAATGACCAAGGCCAAATCACTTAACCTCCTTCTACCAGACAGGGCATGAACAGAATGCAGGCCGAGCTAAGGGAAAGGGCCCGACGTCACACTTCTCAACCTTGTCTTGTCAAATACCTGTAACTGCTGAGTATCTGAGACTAGCCCACTCAGTTTTCAAAGTCTTTGAAGTCTCCTGTTTTGTCTTTTAAAATGTATGTGGTTTGCCTACAAATTTTATAATTTTGGCGGGATATAGCATACATGAATTTTGTGTCCTGTTTGTTGCAGGATGGCTCTGGCCCCACATTTGGGTTTCAAACAACCTTGGCCCTTAACACTAGAAGACACATTAAAAAAAAAAAAAAAGAAAAGAGGCTTGTTTGTTAGAGACTCCAAAAGGAAAAGAGTAAAGCAGTACCTACTGCCCATCCCTCATTTGCAACCCCCGGAGCCAGGGTGAGATGCTCCCACAGCGCCAACAGCCTTCTCCCTGGGATGGGTGTCACTCAGGGGGTGTTGGAGACACTTTCTGGAGCGTGGCTCAGCTGTGTGGTTGCCAGCTTTCTTCTCTGCAGAAAGCCAGAGGATTCCGGCAGAATCACATGCAGCATCTATCCAAGGCTCATGCTTTTCAGACTGTCCCCTTCATCCCCCACCCCACCCCATCCCTGTCCATCAAAACAAGGCTTGTTCCTTGGCTTCCCTTCCCTCCTCGTTCTTCCCCCATTCTCTCTAGGTGGGGTGGGGTGGGTTCTATCTCTCATCAGCTCATTTCCCCCCATGGCAGTAGAGGTCTAATTAGTATCATCAGATGGACTCACCTTCCCTTCTATATTTGGCAGATAAGTTAAGGAAATCTGAACATTTGAGCTCAGAGTTTTTCAACCTTGATAGCACTGACGTTTTGGACTAGATAATTCTTTGTTTTGAGGAGCTATCTTGCATATTGTAGGGACTTTCTTTTTATTTTTTTTAACATTTTAAAAACAATTATTTGTCT